AACAGCAGTTCACCTTGCGAGAGAAACATCAATTTGTCCTTCCTGAAACATTTTGTTGATTCTTTCGATAACTGGCAATGCGAAACCAACAGAAAATAGATGAACAAAACGATCAATAACATTTCGTTGTTTCGCGATGATCATTTCTGCTGGTTGCAACAACTTTGACTGACGATCATAGAGCTCACAAAGCATTTCGAATAATCTTAAATTAGGCTGCATTTCATCAGAATAATTCAAATAAGCTTCTAGTCAAGCTAATGCTCATTAATTTATCGATGAATCTGTTGAGGACAGAATCGAAGACGATGGAATTAATGCCATGTGCTGATTATATCACAATTTGGAATATCTCGGTTAAACAAAATTACTAAATTACAGTAATGCTTTTTATAGCCAGATTTTGAAGCAGACTGTTCCAGGAAAACCGAGAAAATACTTCGAATTAAACTGATACGTAAAGAAATGAAAATGTAATCATAGTAGATGAAACCGTTTTTTTTTTTTTATAGTAATATGCTCATATAGCAATGTTAAGATTATTATTAGAACACCGATAATTTTTTTTTTCCTTAGAATATTTTAGTTTAATATGCATTCAGCAGTAGCAAGGCTAACTATTGCTCTTTTACCCGTCCCCATCTTTGTCAACCAATCCAAGTAATACAGTTTTCTGAATTTCGTTCAGATTTTTTCTTGAAGTTTTATTTTCTACAAATGACTACTATATGACATGATTCGATGGCGACCTGATATGCAGACTGGAATGTTTTGTAGCAATCTCGTCCAACAAAACAAAATGAACCACTTCCAGTTCACTGAGTATTTCATCACTCAACAAAAATCCTTGTAAATAATGCAGGAGTCCACTGGCAACTGAAGGAAACTCAATGCCTGGAAAAACAAGAAACAATATTGCTTTAAATATTTCTTTAAATTAAAACTTCCATCTTTCGAATGAGTAGTAATTTACAATCCAAGTTTCGCACTAGAAAATAAATCTTAAATCGATTCATTTATTTCTAGTCAATTCAATTAACGAATGGTTTTGATGGTTATAAATCTTCTTTGAGAGATTACATCTTCTCACTGCAAAAAAAATGGTAGATTTAGATGAATTGATTTCAGTGAATTATTGATTGAAGCACTGCAGTTGTATTTGAAGATGTAAATATAAATAAAACCAATTTTTATTCCCATGAAAATAATAAAACAAGAAAATTCTACTATTTAAAACCATACCATTGAGTAGCACACGAATATCTTTTAAAAATTCGCGCTCCGACCTTATACTATCCAAAATTTGTTCCATAATGCATTTCGTTTTTTCCATCTCTTCCTTAATTTGTTGTAAGCATCAATTTATGGCTATATAATTTGAATATCCTGTTCTGATATTACTAGATTAAGGCCAAATTGCTGCGGAAAATATATGATGCACTCCTTGCAGAACGGAAAGTAATAAATTATTCGGAGAAAGGCAATTAGTAGAACTAGAAGTAATAGAAATGAATTAATTATAAGACAGTGAATCTCACGTTTTCTCTTTCACCGGACGCAGTATCTGAAGTACTACAAGAAGCATAGGACAATAAAAAGATGTATTTCGAGCGGTGGTTCGAGTGAACCTAAAACACCACATGATAATTTTTGAAAACAAAAAAATAACATATTTCATTTAGCAACTTTTTTTACAACAGATAAGTTACCAGTACTGTGAAAAACCCGCAGCAATAAAGGAGTGACATGATCGTGTTAATTGTAAGATAATACTATGAACAGATTAAGGGCAGGTTAAATAAAACACAGAAGAAAGATAATCGCAAAGATAAAATTCTACGAATTATATAAGTATTTCAAACGGTTTTACATATAGTGAGTAATATTCTCATTTTAATTATCCAATTTTTGCGAGGAATATCAAATGTATTACAAAAGAGATAAAAGCAATAGCTAACAGACAAACCTTACTTCCTTCATATGCAAATAACGCGTCGATGAGCATATCGACAAAAAATGGATCTTGTATAAATTCAACAGGTGGTGGTTCTGATGAACTATAAAGCTAAAAAAGAGGAAGTGGAAGTGAAGAAAATATATCAGAAAATAAATTATCACAGTTTTTATATATCATTCATTATTTATGTATTATTCAAACTATATGGTTATTTAACTTGAAAAATCTTTTGATTCTAGTTGTTTAAACATATTATACTTTATATACCATAACTTTTATATGATTTCAACTTGCTGTCTGTTAAAAACTGCCATCTATTAAATAGAAACAGTGGTTTTTAATTATATGGATAGATTAAAAATAATAAGTATAATATGTATAAGGAAAGAAAATAATTGCTAATAATAGAAAATAATATATCCCTCAAATATGATAGCAATCTATTTTCTAAGTGGTAATCAATCAAGAATAGCTAATAGTACCAGTATAATACTATCTAATACTATCAGTCTCACCAAGTACACATTAGGAAATGAAGGGTCTGACTAATTTTGCTAATGCAAGTATATAAACTTTAGAAAGATTAAATGATCTTTTTTAAAATATCAGAAACGGCAAAATAATGGGATGAGAAATGAGAAAAAATTATCATTAATGAAGTCATATTAAATTAGATTTTCAAAAAAGTTACTCATTTTGTTCAATATACATTAACAGAATTAATTTACTTCATAAAGACGAATAATATCAGCCTGATTTAAGCATTTCTTGCTAAGCATTGTATATACGATTTGCTTCACATCATTATCATAATCACCATATCCTCCATCTAAAGCGATATGAATATCGTATGTATCCTGATAGTTACGTTTATGTGCTTCACGACGTAATATTTGAGCCAAATATGTACAAACTGCTGCTGTTTCATTCTTTTCCTAAAATGAATGTTGTAAGACGAAATTAAATATTCATTCCATCGAAAAGTCCAATTCTAGAAGGAAAAAAACGAAGCGCTTCTGCATGTATTGCTACTTATCTGTATTACATGAATATTATGCATTACTGTTGCGATAATTTAACGTCAAATTTAATTTTTTAAGTGTATTGTATGAGTATCACATCTACTGTCCATTTTTTTTTCAGTACAGTGACACATCTATGTCGATTATAATATAATGTTATACGTACGTAGAGAATCTTCCTCATTATAATTCTATAGAGGAAACATTGCTTATTCATCATAATTTACTTCAGAAATTCACCTCTTTGATAATTTCATGCAAAAGAACTTGCGTGAACAAATAAGTATGCTCGCTGTAGCAAACCACACGAGTTAATTCTGCAAATGCCTTCTCATAATCTTCTGTCAACGGCCCTTTTTTGTGCTTCAGAAAAAAGTCGTCAATTGCAGTAAGTACCATACGACAATAAATTTCAAGCTATAAAAGTCAACTTAATATAAGTGATCAAGCAGACTAGCTAATCATATTATTTGCTGCGTATTAACCAGTCAGTGTTCGCATGCTTAGATCTGCTGATAGTTAATTTCATACACCATTTAATAGATCAGAAGGGGCAAAAGATCGAATAGATGTTCCCGCAAAATTCCTCTTACATTGCTGAGGATGAAAATAGAAGTAAGAGTTGAAAATATTTGGACTAAGTAAATCAAGCAGTAATAAGTAGCAGTCTAGCAGATAAAAATAACTGTACCTGTTGGGCAGCTGGATGGACACTCGTAATTTCATGCTGAAAACCAGCATCTGATATCATTCGAATTGCTTTCATTAAAAATTTCGATCGAGGATTTTGTTCGATAAGTGTATAAATTAAATTACGCCATGTGCTGTAAGATTTGTTTTCCGTTTGAATTTCAATTTGTTTATCAATTTTTGAGTGAAAGAAGTATCTAACTAGTAACTTGGATAAGTCATAATTGATCTATCTTTGCTGGAAATATGTTTTGATCAATTTTTGAATCGTTATCATTTTCAAGCTATTCATGTCGTACTATAGACACAACACATATTTTAGAATTTTAGGTAGGCATTTGGAAGTTGAATTACTGGAGGTACGATTATCAAACCTATGCTTCAGTAATTCCGGCAACCATTTATCAACATCGTCAGCGGCTTCAAAATTTTTATCGACAATTTCAGCTACGAAACGTTTCTGAAGCAGTGAGCTTAATGTCTTCTCGAAACATTCATGAACGATTTTCCGATTACCTTCCAGATCTGATAACCAGTCACCAAGTAATTCGCAGTACTATAACATTTCAACTTGATTAATTATAACGAATAATGACATTTTTTCCTACACCTTGTTAGAAACAACTAATATTCTAGCCAGCTGACCAACAGATATCAACAACACGTCAGTTCTGTGTGTCATTCGGCAACGATTTCGTTTATCGTGAAGTGATAATAAGCAAAAAGCAATCATTTCGGTCATTATACTGATCACTTCGGTATTATACTCAGGTGGTTATTATACCGAAAGCCCATGCAATACTGATAATATTTTAGCTTATTTCTTTCGAAGTCCGACAATTTCACTAATAAAGTAATCATTTTCCAATATTTACTGAATGTGGCCAGAGTCCAACATGAATTCAAAAAATAACAAAGAGCACCTGAGCAAGACCACGGTAACTATTGGTGAGAGAAGTGATAATAGCTTCCGGATGACCACCATCTCTTAAAAATCCTTTGATAGTTACGTCTATATTTGGTTCCATTATCGAATCAGCTGCTATAATGGAGACACAATATGAACTTAGAACGAATTTACTCACTGTTCAGAGGTAAAAAAGAGATAGAAATTATATTTTCATCTCACATCTAGCCACACTTCACATCATTTTACAAATAATGCATAGATTGGATGTTATTGAAATCAAAATACTTAAAATATAAAATTCAAAAAAAAAACCTTGAAGGATTTTCAGATGACCTTCCAGTAACAACTCTTTCGTTTTCCTACCAGAATTCGAACTGTATGAAGAGGATTCATCACCATCATTATCACTACTACCAGTTCGACTTAAATTACAACTGCTACTACTATCACTACTAACAGCAATAGTTGTAGAAGAAGTAATAATACTATTGCTTGTATTCGTTTTTCCATCTGCTTCGGCTGTAGTATTTTCTGCAAAAAAAAGAAAAAGAAAAAGAAATATTCTAGAAGAATCATCCAAAATATGCAAAGAAATTTTGTAATTTCCTTCGATCCATAAAAAAAAAAAAGACCTCAAAATTTTCAAATCTCATATCCGATTGAATAATCTTGAAAATATAGCAATAATGGAAATAAAAATCTGATGATGCCGTATAAATGTGACGAATATTTTGTCTCTTATTATTATGAACTACTTATGCATGCTAATAACATCAATTACATTAATATAATTACAAATTATTTCGTGTAACTGATGAATTGTGCTAGAAATACTTTGACAAGATATAACAGATTCATGATAGGATTGCAAGAATAATGATTTATGCAATCATAAATTGATTGCAAGATATAAAATTTCTAACTATTCAAAATTTCTAACCATTATGTAATCCTTCAAGAATTTGCCGAGAATCTTGACAGAATCTAAAATTTCTAATTACTCAGGTATGTAATTATTTATGAACTTGCCGATCTTATAAAGCATATAATTCGTTAAGAATTTACCGGAAATGTTGGATGGAAATGTTTGACTATCATTGGTAATTATCGCCATTGAAATTTCCATATCATCATCATCCATTTCCATCTTTGAAAACTGCAATTTTTTTTTCTCTTTTTTTGTTCACTTTACAAGAAATGACAAATTCCACTGAAAATATCAGTTTTTACTTCCAATAATATCTATACTGATAATATTCTTATCTATTATACATATATATATATATATATATATATATTCTGTAATCAATAAGCCAAATAACTATATTACATGAAAGAGATCAAAATATTTTTGAGCTATGAAGTGATCTTCTAAAGTAATTAGTATCATTCAGTGGTAATTAGTTTAGAAGATTACTTAACGATTAATTCACTTTGTTATTTCAATTACTCTAAATTAATCGAGAATGATTACATAAATGATTCCTCATATTTCCATTAACAATTAATTATGCTACCTCTGATTTATCATGTAGTTAAAAAATTCAAGCCATCATAATATTTAATTCAAATTTCAAATGTATTTGAAATTTATAACATTATTAGTTAGAATTTTAGATCTTCAATATTCTAATATTCGAAACTTAATAATACTATAATCAGAAACGTTAAATCGATTATATCATTATTCAAAGATTTTCATTACTCCTATCTTCTTACCTTCTACACTTTGCGACTTCCTATTTCTTTCTTTTTCAAAATAATATACATTCAGGATTGAGTATTATTCTTGAAAAGTTTAACCATAACGATATCAAAATTAAATTTTATTTTAGAAACAATTTCAAAATTGAACTAGAGAAATCGACACAGCACTTTTTGACGACAACTTTTTCACGTATATTTTTCATCAATCAATATTTAAGTAATCATTTGATTACGTCTATATGAATGTTCATGTTCACGTTTTTACGAAAACAAAAAAAGACAAACACACCTTACTTATATACTCTCTGATTATATCTATATGAAATGTTGACATTTTTATGGTGATAAAACGACAAGTGCGCATCCTACATCATGTAATGTTACGTGATATTATCATTCAACTATATTACTTTTAAAAATAATGGACGTGAGAAATCACTTAACAAATTGCTACATAACAGTAAGTAATCAAAATAAGCATATCCAATAATTATGTACTCAACGTGTCCTATTGATTTGTTGACACGTTGTACGCATGATCTAGCTATAACACAAGACAAAAGCGCAACATCTGCTCATCAATATCTTCCCATACTGTCAAATAATGCCATTGCTGATAAAAGTAAACACTGAAAAATGGAATAACAAAAATTTGCATAAAAGGAGGAGGGGAAGGAGAAAAATGAATGAGAAAGATAAAAATAACATTCCAAGGATAAGATAGAATATTTTCGAAAGATTTCACGTCACAGATATTAACGTCAAATCTCTGGTAATTAATGATAATTAGAATAATACGTGTATATGTCACGTATCATAACGTATTTCAATGAAATTAGCCACATGATATATGATAACATCCTGTAATTGAAATTGAGTTTTTTTTTTTTGCAATTGGTATTCGTCGGATGTAACGTAGTTAACGTAAATAACGTAACGAAGTTTATACAGTATTCTGATGTATCATTGAAATATTTTTGCATTCATTTGTTTTCGGACTCACTTATGGTTATTTTTGACACTAAGTTCACGTATGTGACGTTAAAACGTCTATGACATTACCTTTAACTTTTATACTATGTTAAAGTGTTTAGTCGATGTATTTTGTCAATACGTGTAATTAAATTCACAATCGATTATTTTATCCTAACGAATATTTTATCAAGCTTGAATTAGAATTTAAAGTTCAAAGGTCGTATATTTTTCAATATTTAATTAATCTATATCTCACGATTTGTAATCTGATAGCGCTGATAACACAAGAAATCTGATTATATTATCAATTACTTGATCATCTATTGTGATTTGTTTATGTAATCTTTGCCTCATATAAAACGTATTAAGAGAAATCAATCGATAAATTTGCTGACTGATTGACGATATTAATGATAAATCTTTTATAAAATATTGATTAAATAGTCAAATTTTAGAAACAAAATTCATTTTAAGTGATGGAATTATTTCGATTGAAATGTATTTATCAGTATTGCTAGAAACTTAGCGGTTTAATCATCGATAATCTCTGTGATAACAACTGAAACAAGAAAATTGGATGTCAAAATTGAAGCAAAAAAGTTAGACATAATTACTTTGATCTTTTCATCTTTTTTCCTATTATTTTTTCCAGAAATATCTATTTGCTTAAATTTATGGTCAGAATAGCTAAATAAATAGTCCAAGAATACGTTGTAATGTAAGATCAGATATATTTCGTTTGACATTTCAAGTACAAATATTTCAGGGTCAAAGGGTATTTTGTCTTAAACCTTTAGTCTGCTTAACTTTGACAGTATGATACTAGTGATTGGATTAGATGATATAATGAGATGATTAATCTTGTGAAGGTTTTTTTTCCTTCCTTTTTTTCCTATAATCGAGTTTAAGAAGGAGACGTTTGTTATCACGTTACATGCAGAATCAGATGATCATATAATTGAGTTTAAGAAGGAGACGTTTGTTATCACGTTACATGCAGAATCAGATGATCATATAGATATATATATATCGTATGATCATTTCAATAAAAAAAAGATTCCAATTTCAGATTGAACAACCATGTCATCGGATCGTTTCAAACGTAAGGAAGTTAAAACTTTAAAACAACGATGGATAATGTAAGTTTCTTTTTTTGTTTTTTTTCATAAGTTTCTAATATTATTAAGCGTAATTTTTTGCATATATTATTCTTCCTTTTTTCTTTTGGTAAAACTTTAGAGCATGACATATTTTATATGAAATGATTAAGATTGAGGGAAACATTGAGATGTGATCATCGATAATTCATTTTTTTCCAGGAAGCATAAAGATCGTGCGGATGATATACCAGATTGTCCATCTATTGAGAGTATTGTCAACATGCCAACAGCTAGTGAAATTCCGTTTGTTTTATTTCATATTATCTTCAGTTTACTTTAACTTTTAGTAATTTTACGTGAAAAATCTACGGACGTAACGTAGATGTAGATAACATAGTAACATAGACATTAGTTACGTCAAAAACTTACAAATTGACCAATTCATTATCGCTTAAAGGTATAATTTTGAGAAATCATATCGTACCTTACATTTCAGTATCTTTGCTATAATGTGTAGTCCAATGTGCTGAAAACTTTATCAGGAGAAAAAAAGATTCGGAACTCCATGATTAAATTAAGATAAAATATAGAGTAAAACATGAAACACATGGACAAGTTATGAACGTGTAAAACGAGCACGTAAAACACTTGAGCGAATTACGTAAATACATAAAACATAAATGTTTCTTTTTTTTTTTTTCGATTCCTTATTTTTTTCTAATCTTGCATTCTGTAAAACTAATTGATACGTATTTTTCAGGTCGTCCGAAAAGACTGCAGTTAGTAATACTGTAACTGAATCGCCAGCATCAAGTGCTAAATTACCGGATAATACAACACAACCGCAAACAACAAGCAGTAATCCTTTCCCATTAAGCTTTAAATAAGCAAAATTATGCTATGGGTGAATGGTGACATTTCTTCTCGACATATTTGACATCTGCTGACACATTTATTTCTAAAATTGTGAATCTCTTATCCATTTTTACTGGATAAATTTTTACCTTATCACCATACAATTGACAATCAGAATAAATAAATTACTCCTTCATTAAAATTTTTTAATGTCATTTTTCAGTTTTTGTTCTCGAGCAATCTTATAGAGAAGGGAAACATTTTGAGATAGTAATCACACTATTTGAAATGTCTGAATATAGTCAGAATATTGTTGAGAATTGATCTCCGTCCAAATTTACTACTCATGATAATATCGTTTCCCATTGTTTATCAGCTTGATATATAGCAAGAAGATAACTGTAATTGGATTTCCTAGAAAAGACTTGATCTTCTCCAAGATTAATTGAATTATAAGTAACATAATAATACAACTCTAAAATATATCTTCGTGCCTCTACTCTAAATTTATTAATTAAATGACTGATTGATTTCTGGTTGAGTAGCTCAATTAAAATATGACAAAAAAAAAGTAACCCCTAGGTTGATTACATACGGCAGATCTGTGCATCTTTTACAGCCTAACTTAAAATTGAGTTATTTGAATTGAGCTGGACAAGAAAACTCAACAAAATCGACGGGTCATGAAACATCCATAATACCTGAACAACGAGAGCGACGACGATCTCGAAAAAGTAGCAGGCGTCATAGAAGAAATATGACCATATCCAATTCAAGGTCAGTTCCTGAAATGAGACAAAAAAATCAAAGAGAAATGTTACTTCAAATTGTGACGATTTTTTCATAGGAAAGTAGAATACAGTTGGTCTGTAAATTAATATCTTATTTGAAGAATTTAATACAGTAGGTCTATAAATTAATATTTTATTTGAAGAATTTGTTTACGAGATAAGAAACTGATCCTTATCTTCGGAATTATAAGATTTTTGTTAATAACTCAAAAAGGTAATACTCATTTTTCTCTTCTAATTACAGTAGCGAATTTGCTATCCAAGGTACAGCATCCGAAAGACGTGATGATATCCCGATGTGTCCAGATATCGAGAATATCTGTGAAATTGATCAAAGCGAGATGGAGTTCGTTTTATACTTATTGATTATCAGAAATTTTACCGAAAAGACAAGTAACTATACGGGAAATAATATATTTTAGTTTGAAAATTTCCAAGTTCCTAACATTGATTGACATTTTAAAGGAAATGGAGAGAAATTCTAATGGACTTAATTAATGAATGAAAAGTAACGACCAATAACCTTACACAACTTATTATACACAGATATTTGTCTCGATAAAATATGACTTGATAAAATCATTAACATTAATGGAACTTTCTTAGTTATCAAAATCTTCTGATTGCTAAATATCTTCCGATTATTAGGATACTGGATAACAGATTAGCAACCAGAAGGCTATTAGGATAGAATAGCAATTTTTTTTTTGAATATCCAATTGACGTTTGTCATTTAATCGTTAAGACATCTTCTAATTGCAAAAATACACTTTTACTTTTGAAATCTTTAACAAATTTAAAATGTATGTTCGAAATTCATTTTATTATGCTTTTATTTCCTTTCTTTTTTTAAATTTTTTAGTGATGATATGTCTGTTCATCGATTTTCTCATGCATTCTATCAATTACTTGATGATTCCCTCCTTCTCCTAACCAAATTCGCACAATTCTTGAAGGATCATCCTGTAAGTTATCATAGGCCTATTCCATATGCCAAAACGAATTGTTCATTGTCAAAAATACTGCTATCTTTTATCTCAGGCAGCTATCATTTTGTTATCTGCAAATAGTTATTTCTTCAGTTAGTGCAGGGCATAAAGTATTTTCATAATCTTAAATGTATGTGATGAGATAAATTAGCGACAAAAAAAAAAAGGGAGAACTATTAGCCAGAAATTTACTTCATTTCTATTAAAATCAAATTTCTTTTTATTTAATTTTGTTATGTGATAATTATATAAATAGCACAATTACTTTTTCCCAACTCTTTCATTCTTTTTTTTGTTTAATCTTTGTTCTCACCATTTTCTTCCAACTATTCACTTTCTATTTCTTACTTTCTTGATTTTTATTCAAATTAAAAATAGGTAATTCCCAATTTTCTATGTTTCTGCTAAATTTTTTACTAGCAAAATTGGGAAGTGCCTAACATTGATTAACACTAACATTGATTAATGATAGCTGTTCAAATTCTATTAATGATTAAATTTAAAATTCAAAGTGATTAAGAATAGGATCAAAATATTTTTGTTCATATTTTATATTTGTGATATCTATTTGATAAAAGTTTAGGTGAAAAGATAGCAATAGATGTATGGTACATTGAATCGGATATGAGAGATCATTTTGAGATGATTATTTAAATTTTCAGTTATTTAGAGATTGAAGTTTTCGGATTATTCAGATCATTTCATTTTTCTAATATCGCAACAATCATTGTTAAAATTATATTCAACATAACTGCTTATCTTTATTATAATCCGATAATATTCAAGATAATTATTTTCATATTTCCTGATTCTAATACGATAATTTTAGCGTCCTGCAACAATAACAGGTTTCATTGTTGCCAGTTATTTAATCATTAGTTACTTGGAGCTCTCCATTGCGGCATTTATTGAATTAATTGCTCAAGCAATTTGGCCAATATCACATGCTATACTTCTCTTCATCGAACGTCTTTCCATAAATTTTGGCTCATTCATGCATTCTTCCGATGATATTATCAGGGTTAGTAATTAGTGAAATATTTCACCCTAAAAAAATATCGCGAATCTTAGGCTGATAATATTGATAGCAATAAGACGCAAAGATGTATTAGAGCTATTTCAAGGGTTAATTAAATTTTATAATATTGATTATTGCAATGAATATAGATCATAAAATTGATATTGATATGATTGGAATATGTAGTAGAAGTGAAATTATTGGTAGTATTTTACATTACAGATGATAATGTTAGTATGATAAGAAGTGACATGAGGAATGAATATTTTGCAGGGCGCATACTGCGATGTGGCAGAGATTTGGTGTAAACATTTTCAGATGATGTGTGCTGATCGATGTTCATTTTTTAGTATGGCAGTAGAACGATTAAGAACAAATTAAAATTTAATTTTAAACGAAAATTAAAAATAACGTCAGGAAAGATAGATTTGTTCATCGTTTATACTAATAATTTTATCAACATTGTAAAAAATCGACAACACATTACTGCAATGATTTGTTTTATAATAAATATTCAAAAATTGGTCGATGTAAACTAATCAATCTTCGGACTTATTCATAGATGAATTTTTTTAACAGTTAAAGTTGTAATGTTCATGAATTCATACCGGAAAACACTTTTCCGTTTCGGGATCAAGATTTTGCTTCAATACAAGAAAACTATTTCTTGTATACCTAATATGTAGCAGAAAATGTTTTCAAACATTTCTAACCAGATATTATCAATTAACGAAGTTTGATACAAAAATGATTGATGATTAATTTTTATGGAATCGTACTCCGTACTCTAGTTACTGTATCTGTTTGTCGATTGTTGAAGTTTTATGCGCGCTTCGGAGATTTTTTTTTTTTCGTGTAGGTGTGACAATCTTTTGACATCAATAAGACTTGACATTTAAAAAAAGGAGAAAAAATATCGGAATTTTTTCATACAATTAAAATTTACTTACACTTAAATGAATTAAATCTCATAATACGATAATTTTTTCTCTTTAAAATACTAATCTCACTGATATTGTACAGTTAAAGTAAATTTTATGAATTTATTTCAATGATGGATACTTATGAACTTACTTTTTTTTTGCACAGGTAAATGAATCAGGAACGATTAAATTGTAATATAAGTAAGATAAACAATTTGAAACATAAAACATATTTAATTGTATTCTTATGATAGATTAATCCTACAATTATTAAAGTAAATTAATAATAAATTAAAATTCTTGACCAAATTTTTGGATTGATTTCAAAAGTTAATTATACCGTTTATCACAGTTCATTTTGAAAGAAGGTATAATTACTATAACCTTCACATCTCTTCTCCGTTTATCTGTTATTACTATTATGGCCATAAATAAGGTTATTATTTTTTTTTTTTGAAATTCAATTATTTTCTCATTTAAAAAATTTTAAAGATATAATAATTACAATCAATAATAATATATAATATCATTTCTCTGCCATTTTCTCCTTCAATACCTAATTTTAATTAATTTTAATCTTTGATCTTCGCTTTATTAATGCTGTAGTGATAATTTACATTGTTTAAATACGATTAAGAAATATGAAAAAGAATATGAATAAGATGAGATAAAAGTCCTTTTCAAATATATCATCTAATATAATTGACCTTGAAATATTGTCAATAATATTGTAATATTATTAAATATATGATGGAATAGATGAGAGGAAAAGGCTGTTAACTAAATAATGAATAATAAAATGTACAATATTATAGGTAGCATCATTAAATCCATATCGATAGGATCATTATCGAATAACTTCATTTATTTCGGCGACAATACCGCCCTTCTCTTTCTTATTTCCGCCTATCCATTTCTACTTTCGTCAACTTCTTTTCTATTCCATTCTCTTAAAACTCTTTCATTCAGAAATCAATTGCATTTTCTCTTCTATCAATAATTCTCTTATTTCATTAGTATTTCTTCATTTTCAACAAATTTTTGTTCTTTTTTTTCTGTTTTATCGATTTTTTTTTTGGAAAATTCAAATACCAATGATTATTGCGAAATATTACGCATCGCTTTTTTTTCGTTTTATTGTTTTTTCCGGAAAGTTCAAATGTCAATTATTATTATAATTGTTATTATTATACACATTGTTTTTTATCGATTTTCCCGGAAATTTCAAATATTTGTGATTGTCACGTATTTCCTTTTTTTGGATATCTTTAAGTTAGATTAAGTGATATTTCACTTCTATTTCGATTAACGTCACATTTCATTTTCATGCAAATGACGTCATGTCACAAAAGGTTTACGTAATAATTTAACGTAAAATAAGGAAAATTTATAATTTGCAAAAAAATCTGTTTTAAATGGAGTTGAAATTTTGGGAAATTTGTAAAATCCTTAAGATATATGATAAATACAATTGAATGTTTACATTTAACTATCATTTGATTGATGAATGTAAACATAACTAACCCATTTGGTGGTCAAATTCTTATCAATCAATAAATGATAAGAATGGCATTATAATAAGGATGATGAAAGATGAACTGATATCATTGATTTGTTCAATAACATCTGACAATCATTTCCATTTCTCACTATTTTTTTCTCCCCATCAAATAATATCTTTTCTTCTTCTTCAATATTTTGTATTACTATTTATCCATATTGTCTTTGTTTAATTAATTAATTGATTGAAAAGCAAAAATTGATATTACAAATCAGTGAAACTATTTCCTATACTAGTAGTTATGAAGAAAAAATCCATTTTAGTATTTTTACAAAATTGCTAGTTGATATTTTCATCTCAATTGAAATAATTCCAATTAACCAGTTTCAATTAATTCACTTTTTTCATTTCATTTTTTTTCTTTTCTTTTTTTTTTTCTTTTTTTTTCTAAAGATTATTAGTACGATTGAGTAAATAAAGGGCTAAATGTTTATTTTGTTAAATTATCTGGCAAATATTAATGAATGATCTCATTGTATTAGAACCGGTTTCTTAAAAATATTACTGCGAAAGTCACATGCTTTGTGAGTACCACTCTGTAGAATCGTATGACATCGTTTATTTCATCCATTCTTAGTTGTTAGATTGTCATCAGGACAATATTTTATCAAACGATGAAAATTCCGCATTTATCAATATTAATTCTCTTAGGATTTCTTTTCTTGACTGTTTAATTTTAAATTAATAAATTCTAAAATTTTTGGAAAGGAGAGAAAAAAAAAGAATTGGTAAAATTTTTAAACAAATCTTTTAGTGTATTTTAAATAAACAATAAATCTAAAACTTTCAATTATATCTCTCTCGTTTAATTAAATCTTAATCAGTTAAACTTTCAACTTCAATTAATTCGATGATATGATTTGACTTTTTTTTTTCGTCATATTGATGGTTTAGTTAAATTGCAAAAAATGATGATACTATTGAGTGATCGAACACTCTTCATTAAGTTAATTTCATATCATTCATTTACACGTATATTATTGGAAATGAATCACTGAAGAATGATTAAAATTTATTAAAATTTAAATTAATTTTTTAAATTATCATTTATTTAGAAAATAAATGTGGCAATCATAAATAGTATGTTTATCAAATGTTGTAATACGTATTTCAACATTAATTGTTTCATCAATGACTACTACTGCGAGGTTGGTAAATTTGTAACGTATTATTTGACGTAAACGTTTTACACGATATCCTAACAAAGTAATTGAATAATATCTTTAACATATCGAGAGCTCTAGATGTTAATTTCTTCACTTTAATTATTATCCTAATACGTGAAATTAAATAATTTATAAACGATTATTCCGAAGATGTATAGATATGTTGAAGATATAATGAAAACAAATAATCTAAAAATACTGTTAACTTTTTACGTATATATCATCTCTTCGCAATATTTTATGTAAAATTTTAGAAATAACAAGAGAAAAACAATTATAGTTATCACCTCGCATTTTTTTTGAATTATCAAAAGATATTTTACTGATAATATTTATTCCGGAATATGATTAAAATAATCATTTCTTTCACTGAACTTCTTTTTTTCCTATAATCTTTTACAATATTTACAGATACGAATGCATATCAAATCAGGATTCATTAGCAATGAATGATCAAACAAGTGTTTATAATGCAGAACAAATCGATGATACAGCTCTAATTACCATTCATAATGATAATTTTGATCATATTCTCATGGATGATATTACCTGGCAGAATATCTTTCAAGATGTACGATATTCACAAAGACAACAACGATTTTGTACAGGTATATATTGTCAGGAAAGCTAACCTGTTGAATCTGTTTTTTTAACGATATAGATTTATTTGGGATGTAATATTGTTCTTGCATAATATTAATAGTCAACAATAAAAAATATATATATATATATATATTACACGATAAATTGGTAAGCAATAATAAATGAGTCATACAAAATAAGCAAGCAAATATAATCAACCAACAAATTTCTTTGTCATTGCCTTGGATAATAGTTGACAGTCGTTTTGTTAATAGGTTGCATAATGATTGAGATATAAAAATTCATCCTTCATTAAGTTGAGAATATGTTGCAGGTAATATTTTCAGACGAAAATAAGATATATTGTAGTGTGTTGGTCAATGCGAAAAGGATTTCGTAGTTTACATGGTTGTAAAAAACTAAGCTACTTCGGATATTTCTTCATCTATAAGGATTAGGGAGAAGTTCGAGGTTATCATGAAGATAGATAGCTGCTCTTTGGCATTATCTATTTTGTATGTATAATGGATATCATTTGTCCATGGTGTAGATACTGGAGATGTCTTTGTGTTATTCTGTCCATTGTTAAGCTTATATTCTCATCATCGCTTTAATTTTACTTACAAGATTTTATCAACCCTGTTTGTTAGATATTTAGAAATTTTATTTGAATATAGTATAAAATTTGTCACCATTTCATCAATTAATGACAATTTGATTGAATTTTTTTCTTTCCATAAATTTTACAGATAATTTCTTTTTTAATAACTCTTATAATTTTTTAGGTATTATCACATCAATGGTTTGCATAATGTTAATTCTTTTAGTCTCATTATTTTCGGGTTTTGGCAAAGTTATTTTCGATGTTATTGCTTATCAGGAAAAATCACGTCATGGTAAAGAGTATAATTTTCTTTTTTTATTTTGATTTAATAATTTATCATTGATAAGGTATGATTATGTTATTCCGGTTTTTTTTTTTTGCGGAATTAAGGTGATTATAGCATAGATATCAATTATTATTACGTTCTTTTTTTTTTTTCTCTCTTTAGGTCTTATGATGATACCGAATATCCGGAAACGATCACTAAATGTATTTTATTTTAACGTACAAAATGGTACATCAAATGAGGAATATGTAAAAGAAATTGACGATTATCTTGAAAGTAAGCAATTTATAAATTTACATAAATTAAAGTAGAAAAATTTTCCTTTGGTTAATTATCTTTTTGTTAATTTTGTTGACAAACATTTGAATCATTAAGATTAATGATTAATGAACAATTAAAGATAATAGTATATATTGATCATATACCCAGGCGAATACATATCATTTGTTCAGCGATCGATCATTTATATCCTTAAAATGATGCTCAATTTGTCAACGAGTTGAACTATCAAATTGATTCATCCTAATTAAATCCACTAATTTGTTCGGTTATTTCAATCGATCTAATCTTTGCTAATTAATTCTCATACAATATTTGTTGGTGATATTGTATTGAAAAGAAAAAAAAAGTTTACGATATATTTCAGAATATACTAAAAAACAAGAAATGATAAGAGAATTTTTAAAAATTTGTACGATACAAGAACGAAACGATAAAAGCCATTGGTGCGCATTTGACATCCAACAACAATTTCATTCCGATTGTACTAAAATAACTAATTACGGTTATAATTCCGGCAATCCATGCATATTATTCATTTTTGACAACGTTAGTAAGTTTCTAACGAAATAATATGACTAATTTATTTGTTATAATGAAATAATTATGCTCATTACTAGTAATTATAATTGATCACACTGATTAATTATACTGATCATAGCAATCATAAATAATTGTACTAATTACATTGTCTTAATATTATAATGAAATAACTACACTTTTTTTTTTTTTTTTTTAATGAGCTTAATTTAAACTAAAATTTTTAAAGTGTTTTTTTAAAAAATTAGATATTTTTCCATTAAAAAAATCTTCAAAAGATTTTGAATATTTTATTTCAGATATTTATACAGTTTTGATCCTTCATTTTGTTTCATTTATCCCAATAACATTTATCATTTATCATTCATTGATAAAAAATGATAAATGTAACACTCAAGCTTCTTTAATTTCTCGTCATTTTTTAAATGTACCTCTCCTAACAATCATCTCCGTTTTTTTTCCTTACTATTTGTTAAATTAAAAAAAAAAAAAAAAGAAGATTAAACCCCCCGTTAAAAACATAGAAGTAAAAATTTCCAAATTTCGAGTGATTTCATAATAATTTTTTAAAGTAATTTCATTTGTGAGGTTAAGAGCCTAAAATAATTGCATTTGAAAATTTAACTTATTTTATTTAATTCAATAATGTTGAATTTTCTCCTTTGATTTATAGCGCTTGGGTTGGAAGCCAAATATGAAAAGTGAAATGGATTATTTGCCGTTTTTTTGTCGTATGGTTAGTTCATTTTACTTTTTTTTTTTCCACTTTATTTCTTTTCAATAACATTTATATGTGCATTGTAATTTCTAATTATCAGTAATTTCTGGTTATCAATTAATGCAACAGATAAACTAATATTTGCAAACACGCAACAGCAACATGCAACATGCAACGCAACATGCAGCAGACAACAGATAAACTAATACTAATATTTGTCATCAAATCTGTTAATTTCAGCCATTTCATCAAGTGTTACCTTTTTCAATTATTAACAGGCTTAACTTGTTACAGTTCTTTTAGGAATTTACCTGTATTCATTTTGTAATGGCTTACATAGCAATTCAATTTTTCATTTATTATTCCATTATTCAATCAATTTAGATAATTAAATTTTTATAATATTTTTAGCAATATCAATATTCGACAAATATTTACACCAATATTACATACTATCCGTCATTACCAACACCAATGCGTAGCGGTGGCTTTCAAATGAATTTAATTCCAAATCAGAAAATTACTGATGATAATGGTAATGAAGTTATTGGAGAAGATGGAAATATTCTCTACACTTTACCACCATTGGTATTTTTTTAATATTATATCAATAATGTAAATTTCATATAAAATTTATATCATATCGAAAACGTCACATGCCAACCCGGTGATTCGTGACAAACTAAAATATGATCCGTGAAGAGGGTGACGTGTTGAATGGAAAACAAGCGAAGTTTGATAAACGAATCTGTCAAAAGTTCCGATTAAAGTTCATTTTTCAACCAACAAAATTTGTTATTTTTGAACCTTTTTGTAGTTCTTGCTAAAAACAAAAAAGAGCTAAAGTGGTCATTGGTGGTCAAGAAATTGTTGGGAACCATTGGAAGATAACTTTAAACTTTAAAAGATTTTAAATACTTACCTTCCATTTGGTGGAATTTTTCTAATTTAATAAATGAAAACTTACATCTGTGATAACGGAAGGGAAAAATGACATGAGAAGGAAAGTGATGAAATAATATCCTTCCTTGATAATAATCTTGATATGAATATCACCTTTGCATTAATTGTTCGTTAAATTTTGCAAAAAAGAAAAAAAAACAGTAAACGGAAACTTTTTAATACTCTCTTCTCTTGTTTTCAGTTTATAATTTAGGTAATGGCAAAAATGACATTCCGGAATGCGTTAAAACGGAATGAAGACGGTGATTTAGGGCCCATTTACTATGGATTGCCG